AACAGTGTAACACGCAAGCACGGAAGAACTCCAAGGGTAGAGAACGAAGTTCTATCACACAACACGTAGCCTAGTTAACCAATGTCGTGTTCTTGTTCTTCTCCGGTAATGGAGCAGGAAAGGCGCTCTGAAATGCAAACGGGAGAGAGTGCCGTTATAGCAACGACTCAACTTTGAACGCGCGCCAAAACAATATCGATTCTTCTCTACAACAGTACGTTTGTAAAGCAAAACAACATAAAAACTTTTTCCATAACTTTTGAAAATGCGCAGCAATATGCTTGATTTTGAAAAATGCTACATTATTCTACTACGCTACTGCGGTTGCTTTCACGGTCGTAACGGATGTAACAGACCAGTGCGTTAACTTGTAGGGATCGGGGAATGGGTTAAAAGTCGGAAGCGCTAAGTCGGAAACCGGTACCATTCTGCGGTACAGTTGCATTCAGTAACGGAATCATACAATTACTTCAAAATATGAAGTGTAACTATGTTTGCATAGTGACAGCTTTTTTAAAAAAGTATATGGGCACGATTATAGTCATACGTAGTTGAATATATGCGTCAGTTTTTGACAAGATCACATACAAACTCCAACAAAGCCTAAATTTGCTACGCTTCTTTTCATAAATAGGCACTGCGTGACACATATATAATAATGACATTATATATAAATAGTAAGATAGAAATATAGAGGTACTTCGAAAAAATAAAATGCTAAGAAATGGTTTGCTTGCATATAGTTCTGAGTTCCGGAGGCTTATAGCAAGCGCTTGGACTGTATATATACGCAAAAACATATATAGGTATTGTAAGGTGAATATACAAATGCTAAAAGACTAACTCATGTTATCGGTGCTACTCAAGCGAGCTGACTGTCCTCTTAGTCGCAGCCTGGCGTCACCAGTGAAGCCTTCAAATCGCTGTATTTTACGGACATTCGTCCATCTGGAAGGGAGAATCTTGGACCTCAGCTAGATGCCTTTTGTTGTGTCCATCACTATTTACCTACCTTTTTCGTTCACAATTATCACCCGTGCTTATTTTACTATCCATTCAGCACCGGTCGGATCCCATGGCTATCAACGCTGTGCTTGTCTTGTTTCTATTTTCAAGCTTTTTCTCTAAATCTCAGCTTGGAGACAGTTTACATAATACTGACAAACACGTTCGACTTTAAAACAGTTAGTTGCCTCAAGTACTTTCAATAACAATGATAAGACGAGCGCTGGTAGATGCGCGCATTTCGTATTGTTTCATCAGTACAAAAACAATAAGGGGAAATTATCATATGCACTTTAAAGGGTGTTACCAACCAATCAGTGTGGTTATTGGCGGTGAAAGGCAATTTTCTTTTACCTAGACTTTGGCGCAATCAGATGTCTGCGAGTAATACTCACCAATGTGCGTAGCCTCAGGAACATGCGTGATGAGATGCTGCTTCTCATCTGAATACCATCCAGAGCTGTTGGCATTTGCGGAGACTTGGCTGTTCTCTGCGATCTTGGACACCGAAATTAACACACTAGAATATCAACTTTTACGCGCTAATCGTACTGATAGGATGATCGGAGGGGGAGTGATTCCCTACTCTTAGACTGGCTCGAAATTCTATCCTTGGAGCGTTTTTCGACAATAACGCTGCCTTTGTAATTGTTTGGTACCGGCTCCATAATGGCCACCAAACACCATTGGCGTTGCTTACCAACTCCCTTGGGCTCAGGCTGTTGTCACGTGGACTCGATCAATACCTAGGGCAGATGCAGATGCTGTCTGCTAATGGGTGACTTCAATGCACCCAGTGTCAAATGGAAGCTTCATCATTCTAACCTTCCATAATATTCCTTCGAGAGGGGGCTTATCGATGCTGTTCAAGAATGCAATCGAAGCACATCACTACATCAAGGCAGATGCTCCCGGGCCAGACATCAAACATCCTTGATCTCCTTTTCACTCCGATGCCTACTGACCTCTGTGGCTTGAAGATCCTCCAACGACTCGGCTGAAGTGACCACTCATTAGCCTCCTTCTTGTGGACACGTCTTATCATCAATGACCGCGGAGCATATCGTCGTAACTTTTGGCATACAGATCCATCCAGATTACACGCAAGCACAGAACATTGGTGCATCCCACAGTCCCTGAGTGTCGAGGAAGCATGGAACCTACTTCTGTCTAACATGACGTCCATCATCGAAAATGCCGTCCCGAAGTCCAAAGGCAAACCGTTCCACAAAGGATTCCCCTGGATCGACCGAGAACTGAGGTCCTTACTAAACGGGCGACGTAAACTGTACCATATTCAAGAGTACACAACTAGCGTCGGAGTACCTAAAGTACACAGAGCTTCGAAACCTGTGTACCCTGAAAACGCGGCAGAAGCGAGCTCAGTGCAAACAATACCTGGCTGTTCCATCCCGAATGTTTCCGAGGAAGCTGTTCTCATACCTAGAGCGAATTACCAAAGCGGGCGTTGGTGTCCCTTCTCTATCTGCCCCTGGAAAAAGCACTGTACTACAGCATGATGACGAGAAAGCCAATCTGCCTTCCTCTCAGTGCTTAACTGTCTACCCAGCAGAGCCACCGTTGCCCAACAATGACGCTCACGTTATCCCCAACTCTGGAGCAAGTTGAACTTAACCTCGAGATGGTCATGCGACTAATCTGTGCGTTGGACCCTAACACCGCACCAGACCCTGACTGATTACACCCACTATTCCTCAAGCTGTTGGCCGAGTGCATCGCCTATCCATTGTCCCAAGTATTCCGGCTCTCACTTGCTGAGCGCCGCTTGCATAGCGCTTTGAAAGTAGAAATAGTAATGCCTAAATACAAAGGTGACCGGCAGGACTCTGCGAACTACCGGCCGATATGACTCACGTCTGTTTTCTGCAAAATCATGGAGAGAGTAATCAAGTGCGCCCTCATCGCTCACTGAGAATACTTATGCATAATCCCCTCACAACACGGATTCCGCAGGCACGATCCTGCATCACTAACCTGCTTGCTGCCAGAGAAGCATGGGTTAAAGCAACAAACGTGAGGAGACACCTTGATGTCATCTTCATTGACTACAGTAAGGCATTTGACAAAGTGCCACGTAAATGGCTTCTGCTCAAAGTTCAGGGAGTTAGTGTCACCGGAAACCTCCTGTCCTTTATTTCAGACTCCTGGGAGCACAAACCATTCAAGTGCAGATGAATCGAACACTCCCTGTGCTTATGACCAATGGGGTTCCCCAGGGCTCCGTCCTTGGACCAGAGCTCACTCAGCTGTACATCATCGATCTTCCAGCGACACTCAAAACTGACTATCTAGTTTACACTGATGACCTCAAACTGTGGTCTGAAATATCTTGCCCCGAGGATGCGGATAGACTCCAAGCTTCGTTTGACCAGCTGCATAACTGGCGACTCCCTGTAAACCGTGACAAATGGGCCGTTTTCCCAATTGGTGGCCCCGATCCTTTCACTGTTTATCATATCGGAGGATATCTCAATCTTGTCACACATGAGTAGGACCTGGAATTCTTCGCGTCGCACGATCTAAAGACATCACTTGGCACGTAGAAGGCCGCGGCAACCAACCGAATACTCTGGGCTTTGCGAAGGTCCTTCTGCAAAATTACCCCGGAGATTTTTAGAACCCTGTTCGCTTCGCATGTCCGTCCGATCCTAGAATATGGTCTCCCGGCCGCTTATCCCGTAACAAACTCTGAACATGATCTGATAGAGAAGGTTCAGAGTCGCAGTTCCAAATCTATATCGGGGCTTTGGACCTCCCCTACACTCTCCAACTTAAAACTGAACCTTTACTCCATGGAATACCGCCGCCGTCGCGGCAATCTCTATACCAGATGCATCCTAAGGGGAGAGATTAGAAGTCAGTTGCAGCAGTTCTTCCGCCTCAGTGGGAACAGCTCGACACGCGGCCACAAGTGGCAATTATTTAAGCCAGGACAATTCGCGTCCCTCCGCAAGCTTCTCTATCTTCCAGAGTCGTGGATGATTGGAACGGTCTGCCGAAACACATCATTAACTCGCAGACAGCGGAAAGTTTCAAGCGATTGCTAGACACCCATCTAACGCACATGGCAGGGTCCTGCTGCTCCTAATTTAAAGCTGACGATCTCCGAAGGAGTAACGTGTCCCGACAGCAAGCACCCACCTTTTGATGATTCAGAATCTATGGAGCTGTCAAGGGATCTTCCTCCGGCCCTCAATATTCCAATGTATTCCAATATAATGGCGAGGGCAACCGAAGGTCAACCACTGATTGTTACTGCACACACATGGCAGTTGTAGTGACTGGTGATTCCCCCGTTTCACTACGTAAATTATCCTGAAATATTCCAAAACTATCATTTTGTTATGTACTAGAGAATTAGGCGGTTTGCGTGTCGGAACGTTGTTCCCGTTTATTTGAAGCACGAATACGACATCCGCTTTTGAAGCACGCTACTTGGACCGCGAACGACACGTCCACGCACTTGATGCCAAGCTACATCTTCCTTGGTTAGCTCTTCTCTGGTGCCCTATTTTCGGCATTAACTAGCTCTTCTGCCTTTCAACAAACCTTTTCCCTAGCTTAGTTTTTGTGTGCTCTATCTATTGCCTTTGGCTGGCCTACTCTCGCACCGGATATATAGTGCACGATCGCTGCGGTATAAGATCTTAGCTGGCTTATCGCCACTGCTTCGGCAAACCGCAAGAAGCGTGGATTGGGATGACGTGATTATATCCAATATCAGTAGGCGGACATGTGTCGTTGACCCGTCAACAGATTGACCCCGGCTCCGCTTTTCGGATATTATAACGTCATTCCAATCCACGCTACTTTCGGTTTGCCGAGGCAGTGGCAAGATGCCAGGTAAGACCTGCGTTGCGCATGCAGAAACAATCAGTGGTTTTCCTTAGGTTGCCCTGGTTCTAGGACCATCGCCGCCGTTCATCTCACTGCATTTGGTAACACCAATTAAACTGTATAACTTCTCGTCATTGTTTTAGTACTGTTACAACAATACGAAGTGCGCGCAACTACCAACCTTCGACTGTCAGTTATCGTGTTATCCAATGGCTTTCAGCCCCTCGGGCATACGGATTACTCGTCCTTTGCTCGATCCCGGTGTATAACTGCATAATCTATTACAAATCATCATTTCGGTGGTCTGTGAGCTGTATCGCCACGCACTATCTTGGATGACTGTTGCTGGCCACATTCTCATACGCTTAGGTTAGTTACGTTGTCTTATTGTTTTAGTAACCAAATAATACTGCGCATCCGAGCGTCCATATCGTAGTGTTATCTCGTCTATGAATAACGGCATAAAATTTCGCATATATTTTGGTTTTCTACGCAGTAGTCTTGGAGTCGGTAGATGCCTCCTTGTGAAGTGCATCGCCGTGGTGGTGTGGTAACAAGAGGTATATATTCTGATAGGCGCATATGATGTTACCACCATGTGTGTTCCTGATTGGACAGGAAGTCGATTGATCCTATTCACTTCAATTTAGATTGAAGCGTGTGCTTGATGAACACTTGCTCGTGTTTGCTGGTTAGAAACGCTTGACTCAGTCTCATGTCACTGATGAGCACACGGTACCGGGGTACTCGCAATTTAAGTAGGCCATATGGGAGGTTTGTTGGGGCTGGTTACGCCAAACGAAAGTGTAGTCACCCATCAATCGAGATTATCTGTTTTATATTTACATATCCATATTGCAAGTGAATAATATACACACATTTTAGTTCGTATATTGTTCATTATTGTCGCTTTTTTATATATTTTGGTTCTTTTACTTACGTCTTTTTAATTCAGCTGTACACTCTTCGCTGATTCGTATCTTTTACATGACGAAATATGCATGTTTGTTCGTTTATATTCATTTTTGCCAGTTTACTTCATATTTATTTGTTTTGCGCAAGTTTCTTAATTGTCTTTTATGTATGTTGTTTTACCACTGAATTTAGCTCGTCAAAATGCGAGTGTCTGGCTCTCGTGAACAAACTGTACCTGGCGAGAACGGCACGCAGCGGTTCAACAGGGGAGGAGAAGCGGATCCGGAAATATTAATCTATCATCGACACACCGCAGACAAGATTTGTTAAGTCACTCACATTTCAGGAAGTATGTGCGTAATACTGAAATTGCTTTGGGTAGACAGGGGAACGTGCTCATAAGCACGTAAATATTTACCACCGGTTGGAATCCGTGATACGGGCGGCTGAAGCTAGGCGTGATTGTAGGAGACGTATTCACGATACCCATTGCATTTTTGGTATCTCGCCTATCCTGTGTGTCGAAATAATCCATCGAGTTGGCCACTGGATGATCCTAGGCGTTTTACGCTAGAAGGATCAGGCAAAATTGATTTTCGTGGACTTTATAAAAGCGATGTATCTCGATCTCAACCGAGCAGGCCTATTGGCTAGTCAAACCACTGATCACTATCAGGTGACTCCCGTACCTTGATGATCACAAGCCTACCTGGTAATCCGAGGGCGCGGGTTCGAGCCTTCGTAGGAACCGGGTGACCGTAATATCCTTAGCCCACGTGCATCTTGTGGTGGCTGCGCGGCAGCGAAACGTCGGCACTTCATACCGACATACTGCTGATTCTTTTTTGCCTCCTGACACGCTGGCGTCAAGAACTGAACTTACATTATTACCGCGGGACAAAGCTGAAATCGACTCTGTCGTGCCAGTGAGCAAACTCTTACATCAGAAACATCTTTTTGCGGACCTTGACGTGAAGTGTATGTTATTTAGAGCTCGTGAGGTTCGCCCTTCCCAAGCTTATGTTGTTACCTGCTCCTATCTCACCTTTTCACAGAACACGACAGCATTGCTGGACCTTCGAGAGACTACTCAAAAAGCACCTTTGCAAGATTCGAGTAATATGTCGACCAGGAACGTGGTCCCAAATTTTTTCTTGACAAAAATTCAGCTTCTGTGTGAGCTTTAGAGCACGACTGCTGCCGCGATTTCAGGAGCAACATAAATAAAATCCCCCAGTTGCTATGATTAGTCTACATACTGCGTTTGAAGAAGCGCTCTCCGACAATCTTCCTGGCAGCCAAAATTCGGCTTAGCTAGGTGCAGCTAAGAGATTTATTGTCAATTAATTTATGCTTACGCGCTGGATGATAATAGCGAGTTGCGACCCGAGTCACCAAAACAACCTCCGTAAGTGACGTAAATGCCAACTTCTGCAGCCGCGTCATCATTACATCATTACAATGATGACACGGTGTACAACCACCCGCATTTTCTTCGCGCACCCGAACAAAAGGTTCGTTTAACTGTTGAAAGGGCTGCACAAAATGGACTGTCTCCTTGGGAGTAGAACCCGAGGGGAACTTGATATAACAGCTGAAGACGAAAAGCTACTATGGACGATGCACCAACGCTTGTAGCTTAGAAAACAGGTGAGGATAACTGACACAGATTTGCAAAGCTGTTGGTATGGTTGCAGTTATAGTGACCTGGCTTTCTTCAAATGCCTCATTTAATGAGTGTCTCCTGACCGAAATTTAAAGCTACAGCAATGACCATCTTGGGTGCCAAAATGAAGTTGGGGTGCTTTTGCTTATACGATCTCACTATAGGTAATAGGAAGCCCTGTATACCTTGTGCATTCCAGGTGTTCAATTTACTTCTTGTTTTATGAGCCTAGAAGATAAGGTCGAATTAATTGTTTGTGTTTATCACAGCCCATCTTCAAGGCAAGGAGAGAACAAAGAGCATAGTGAGCTGCTAAAACGAGATGCAACTTCCGTACCAAACTTTGTGTTGGCGAACTAATCCCACCACATACCAAATGGAGCATGCTCTCATTGGGGCAAATTCTTTATGGTGGACTTATTGCAATGAGTGCAGGAACACGTCTTTATGCAACACGCCAATTTTTCCTTTTTCTTTAGATATTCTGATCACTAGACATGGTCGGTTGTTAGCCATCACTGTGGAGGCTCTCTTAGGTAGGAACAACTATGTTCTTTACTCCATTTGGTTGTCGTTGAATGCGGTATCTAAGCCAGATTAATACCATGCTTTTAAGGGGTAGAGCCATATGTCTCACATGAGTTCCTGAACAGGAGGCAGCTTTGGAACATAGGTGACATGTGCTCAAAGCGGCCTCACGCAGTTGCTAGAGGAGTTTGCTCCCTTGCGTAGAATTCGTCACTTGAACAAGCCTCGTCGGTATTGCCGCAACCCTCTGTGGAAAAGGTTCCATGAGTCCGGTGGATTGCCTAAAAAATTGAGCTACAAATATGTCAACGCCTGGTCGTCAAATTGCAGAGTCAGGCTAAGTAATCGTATATGCTCAGACCGGCGCATAGTGTAAAGACGAATCCGAAACACTAATAGCCAAATGCAGTCGAAGTTGTCACATGAAGTCATTGACAATTTAATCACAGAATATGAACGTCAGGTTACGGATGAGCTAGAAAAGACGCAAGGGTTGTTGCGCGCGGACAACGGGTATTCAGTTCATTCTCAGTCACGTTGCGTAAACGAGGGGAAAGGAAGAAGATCGCTTTGTCTGCACTGTATGTTCTCTATGTCCAAAAGGACCCAAACTCCTACAGTTCCCTGAACCTGATAACATGCACCCAGCTGTTGTTAAGCCAGTTGCCACTATTTTCTAGCTTCCAGTTCTTGAATTGTATAACTCGTCTTTTCATGAGTGGAAGATACCGCAGGATCAGAGAGACACTCGTAGTTGTGATCCATAACATGGGTTATAAGTCTTCGTCCAATAATAACACGTCTTTTAATCTGATTTGCGTACTTCTGAACTGTTTGGAAAGCTTTATTAGAGATGAATATGTGAACCTGGCAGCCTACATCTTGAATAGACCGGCACGGCATGTCTTCGTAAAATAACGATGCCTTACCAACCTGCTGTGCTTTCTTGAAGAAATAACTTGATGTCTTAAAGAAAGGATACCCGTGGAATTGTGTTCTAGTGACTTCAGTAAAGCTTTTGATTCGGCGAATCACCACTTCCTGCTAGAAAAGATGATCTGGTTTGGACACCAACACCAGCCGCCTTCTTGGTTGTCCGCGTTCTTTTACCGCAGGACATTTCGTGTTAGTGTTGGTGCTGGAGTTCCCCAGGGTTAGTATTCGGTTCGTTACTGTTTATAAATATCTTGCCCCTCTACTTGAGGACCCCTGTTATTTTAAGCTTGGTAGCAACGGCGACAGGGATACGCAATTTAACAATCTGGCTATTGGTATTAAGTGGTCACGCTAACGCAATTTGCCCCTGAACTCCAGTAAATGCCAAATCTTGACTCTGAATGATGTTGCACTGCATGCACCTTTTGTGTCCTTGACACTGCAGCGTGTTACCGAAGCATGTGATCTTGGTATCATTGTGACAAATACCTTAAAGTGTTCGGCGCAGTGTAATCATGCTGCTAGCAAAGCACGACAGAAGTTATTTCTGCTCAGGAGGGCTTTGAGTTGTGCTAAGCCAGAGGTCTTTCTCCCTCTATATAAAGCACTTACCAGACCACCTTTTGAATACTATGTGAAAGCCTAGAAACCGTACCTGCAGAAGGATATCAATTGTACCGAAAGTGTTTAGAAACTGATTACTCAACTAGTAAAAGACCAGTTTGCGTTACCGTATGAAGATTGGTTAGCTTAAGATTGTTTTCAATGGGGTGAGGCAGTTTGAGATACGACTTACTATAAAACTTCAGAATCACGAAAGGTCTCAGTGGTCTCAGGCCTACTGATCTCTTTAAATCAGCTACATCAGACCACTTGCAGGGCCATTGTCTGCAGCTAAAACAGCAGATCTAGGCTCAATTTAGGGACTAAGTCTTTCTCAAATCGGGTTGCGCCTAGCTAGAATAAACTGTTCTCTATATTATTAGATTGTAAAACAGTAAGGGAATCCAAGCAATGTCTAGACAAAAACTAGTTGATTCTGTTCCCACAAATTTCCTTTATGGCAGCAACTACATGAACGTGCTGTGGTTGTTTTTTAACTATGTTTTTATTATAGACCAAAGAACTAATTATCAAATCGAAGTGCTGGGGGCTGTTTCGCTTACTGGCACACAAAACGGGACGTTCGTTAGACGAAACCTTGTTTTATCTCTGGATCCTCTCTTGTCCTCGGCAGCGGTGACAATGGCATCCAGTTCACCACGACATGTTTTAGCACATTGAATGTGGTCTCTAACTAGGTGATTGTGATGGTCTCATTTACCCGCTTACGAGATGTTTATTTTGCTTTCCACCTCTACAGGTCTATTACCACCCTTATGCATTAAACACCGAGTAAGTCAGAATCATCGGCCGCACGCATATTACTTCGAGCAGCAAGATTATGATTCGTCCCCATTTGCACTGGTTTTCCACTGACGTAGGAAATGTTCTGTCGATTGCTTTTCGCGGCACTGGTGCATCCATCAATCAATTGTGTTCTCGCAATTCTTCTGTTTCATCCAAGAAGTGAGAGGCATATAACTAAGAACTCAACTTTAGGCCCGCTACGATAAAAGAAGAGCCGTTCAAGCCTTATAGTCCATTTAAAGCCGAAAGCAAGCTCGATTACCTGATAATCAGAGCAGATGACTTAATAAATTGGGCCAGAAAGGTATGCAAATTGTTTGCTCTTATCCACAGAATTCTATATGGCCTCTTACCTTCGGGTTGGCTTGTTGCGCTCTGGAAATGATGCAGATTGCTGGACCACGTTACGACATGGATCGTTTCGGTGTTGTTTTTCGCGCTAGCCCAAGGCAAGCTGATTTAATGATTGTTGCTGGCACAGTGACAAATAAGATGGCTCCTGGAATTCGCCGCATATGGGACCAGATGACGGGGCCGAAATGGGCAATCTCTATGGGTTCCTGTGCTAATGGCGGCGGATATTATCACTACTCATACAGCGTTCTGAGAGGAGTGGATCGAGTGTTACCCGTTGATATCTTTGTGCCTGGTAAGTATGACGTGTGGGTTTTCGTCTTTAGATTCGCTCGATCAACTTTACCATCTGCTTTTTCCGAATCTTCATGACCGTAATGTTCCTGATTTTATTCCCTGTTTTCTTGCCACTTTACCCATAATACTGCGTCCAGGCCTATCCACCATGTATTGTTCGAGATCGAACAGACCTGGAGAAGATTCCAGTGGATAACCGATGAGTGCAATTTTAGGAGGACAGACCTACCCCAAACGGTTGCTTAGTTTGGCTATGTACTCGATGCACTACCGATGAACTAGAAGGGACTTAATCCACAATAACTGTAATTTTACAGAAATGATCGGCCCCAACTTACTTTACCTATTTAGTCCCACTAAGTTGCCTTGTTTCTGCAGTCACCCATTGAAGCTACGAAGATATAACCTGATCAGAACGGGAGCTCATCTGTTGTGCCGAGTTATAGAGTGTTAGAACTCGCTCTTAGACCACATGGTTAAAGAACATACGGTCGAATGTTTTGAGCTACAGTTCCATGATATCGGGTGACACTACTAAGCATTTCCTCTCTCCTGACTGACCTATGTCTTCAGCTTTAAGTTTCTTAATTTTAATTCTTGACATATCCTTGTAGCATAATTATCTGATTGCGCCCATCTTCTTGCTTACTGTTTTTACTGTTTCCCTGTTCTCACTTCACGTAGCCGGCTGTCAGGAACTGCTAATGCAGTAGCTGGTTATCCAGGATTTACCGCGGATTTGTTTTAGGTCCACCCGGATCTCAAAGCAGCCTGTTAATTCTTAGTTCAGCGATCAACTAAAAATGAGCCCGTATAGGGATTAACCCATTGTTTCAGTCCCACTTGAACTTCAGTACTTAACTCGTCAGAAAACAATTCTAACGATACCGTAGGCGCCAAAACTGGGTTCTACCCAATGTGGGAGATACTTAACCACTGTGATGACAGAGTTTTAAAGGTGCCTTTTTTGATAATCCATCTATCAATATCATTGGATGATATTCATGCCACTGCGTATAAACCTTCATCACATATGACAGAATGGTACGGCAAACTCTACCGTACTATTGTGGGAGTATAGTATACATGGTTCGCAACTGACACGTTGTTTGTGTGTCAAATTTGTACACCGGTAGAACTGGTCTTGTTTGCTTTGTTTTTTATACGCTTATGCTTTGTTTCAGTTAGGAAGCTGAAAATCGACAACATAATGCGTCGAGGTTGCACACGCCAGTTTCCATTAGTAATAATTATCACCTACTAGTATTTGTGAACACATCTACTGGTTATGTTTTTAGTTTGCTTTTGTTCCTCAGATACAAATCTCATCCCAGAGGAATCTCACCAATGTAATCTCTCCCATCCTTAACAGCACTGCATCTTTTCCTTATTAATGACACCCGTAAGGTTACATGGATTTACACCAGTTTAGTCGCCGTTTGCTTTCATAACTGCTCTAAAACACTACAGTATTTTGTAGGTTTTAAGCTCACGAGTAAAATAATTTATTTTTCAGTTGTGTCACTGGCAAGCACTGTTTTTGTTGTGCGCAACAGCTAATTAAGTACAGTACAATTAAGATTACCTAGGGTGATGAAATGTAGCAAGGCATCTGCAGCAGGCCGGTAAGCGGTTGCGCTGTTTCTCTGCCACACAACCACCACCAGTCCCGCGTGGTCTAAGTATACTGCGGGGGTCGTCTGGTCTCTTACGCAGGCTTGATCAATGACCGCAATGATCACACTCCTACCTAGTAATCCGGTCACGAGTTCGAGCCTGCATAAGGGACCAGGCGTCCCTCGTAGTATCCTTAGCCTACGCGCGAATGGTGGTGGTTGCGTGTCAGTAAAACGCCGGCACTGCGTACCGCTGATGCATTTTTTTCTTCTACAAGCTCGAACCCGCTACCACCGCGTTGCAAGGCAGAGGCCTTGTCTTTTCAACCGCGGGCCGGTAGAAGGGAAGGACTGGACCCTTGCGTATAGCTTATACACCTTAAGCAAGCATTTTGGGGTCAAGGCGCTTACAGCTTGTCAACAACATGCGGCTCCAGACAACTTGCACTCTTCCGAAACAGTTTCCTTGCGGTTGTCATTGCTCCGCGTCATAATCCGTTCTCTCACTTTTATCAATCCAAACGAGCCCCTGTGTTCCTACCCAACATAATGAGCTGCAACTGCTGTAATCTTCAGGCGAATGCGGTTAGTTGACAGATGACTGCGTAGCGGCATTCTCTCAAAAGATCAAGATGAATCCATTCATACTTGATAGTCACCCAATTAACGAGCAGTCGACTTAACAACATCGTTTACGATTATTAAACCATGGCCCAGCCAACCTATATATCTGCATGCGCACGTATACATATGTATGCCAATATACGTATATATTCGAAAAAACTTAAGTGCACAAAATTGACACCGACTATGAAGGAGAATAACAGTATTGAGCAAATCAAATAAAGAGGAATACCTTTTATCTAGATTCAGGAGATCTAGTCTAAATGTATATATACGTGTATACAAATATATGGTTGGCGGCGTCCGAGTCCAGATTTGCCTGTCACTGTTGCCTCCACAGGATCTGCCACGGGATGCCTGCGTTTACAGAAGGACCATGGGTAGCTTACGCCGCACCACCCACTGCTCCATCCACACCCAATATCCAGTGCAACTGATGTAATGAGACCGAAAGGCACGTGGTTGAGAGCCACGTTTCATCAACGGAGCCGGTCCACACTTCTTCAACATGCACAGCAGCAACATTCCTGCTTATCCATGTGGAGAATCAGGCATATCAGACGTACAACAGGTGGTGGCTGTACCGTAGTCCGCTCTACACTGGACGCATGGAATCACTCACATCCTAGCACCATCACGAAGACCGTGCGCCTCGTCCCCTCCAGCATCGACCAACTGTCTTCTGGAGCCAGTGTAGACAAGGTGATGGGTAATAGATACTTAGGCACCTTGTCAACATGCACATCAAGCGCAGCCACACCATGGATATCAAGCAACAGCCAATCACTTGAAACGACGCGATGAAATAAAATAAATCCAATACTACATACAGATACAGCGGCATAACTCTTCGCTAAATTAGCATATGAAGTACGTTGGTTAGCAACGAGTCCGCGATAAGGAAACATATCCAAAAGTTATTTGAAATGCTACACACGCAACAAAATTACCGAAGATAAGCGCAATCAGCCTAAGCACCGTGGCCAGTTAATAGAAGATTATTCAGGTAGGCAGAACATAGCAAATAAAGTGGAATGAAATTTATCCAGCTTAAAAAGACCTAGTTTAACTGTAAGTTGGTTTAGCCCAACTGCGGTGAAGAAGCATCAAGAATTCAACATCAGCCTCAGCATGGGATATATATATATATATATATATATTCCTCTAATTTGGCTGTTATTCTTGCATTCAATCCAAACTCATGCACGTATGTACTGTTATTGCTCATGAGGGTTACTGTTTCTCTGTTCAGTTTCTAGTAGTCCATACACAAGTGTGAATAACCTTCCGCTCGCAATACTACAGTACTGCAACTCGAGCCAGAGATCTTTGGTATATCAACTGATAGCTCTACTCACAGCCGGTGGTGCTCGTCATCATGTTGAATGACTAAGTGGAAGCCATTTTGAAACACCTATAAGCGCCGCATTTCCGCTTGACAGACTGATAGCGTTTTCACGCGTCTGACACCATTATCTACTGACTCGATGGCTAACTGAGGCTCGTCCAAATTACAGCTAGCGCTAACATCTGTTCTTGTCTCGTTACGTTCCCACTTGACAGATGGATCTTTTTACATTTCATCTCGTGTGACACCGTGAAGTATTGCGGGTTGCGATGTGATGTCAGTGTAATCAGATCAAGTGCCTCTGTACTGCGCACTAAGATTCAGACAAATCATCAGTTTTGATTCACGGACAGCGGCAACACGATGTGACATCCTAATCGAAATGCTTGGACACAGGTCACACTCTGGGCAATGATGAAACGGTCGAGATATGCTAGTGCACAGAACGGGTGATCAAGGAGACCATAAATAGGCACACACGACTGACTACCCGGTAGTTCCATATACGTGTGAATTCTCGCTTACCTCGGAAAAGAGATGACCAGACCCTCTGATGTGCCTTCTGACACGGATAGCATGCAGTTAATGTAAATGGCGTCATTTTTGGCACGCACCAACGATAAGTCATCACTGTTCCACTGTGTTTCTACTCCTGTTTTATGTTACCTTGTGACATTTTCAATGTTATTAGCCTCATGCTGGTCATCTTCTTAATCAATTCTCCATGTTGGCGCCTGTTCTACTTGCACCATGAGTGCACCAACGCGGCTCTAATGACTTCATTTTTTGCATCGCTTTTTATATTCGCATATGTTCTTGCATTTTCACACATTTTATATCATCTCTTTCTTTGTAGACCTTGTGACCAGTTCCTGGGTTTACTGGTAACACTACACACGCAATTCTCGTACTGCCTCTGAGGATGCGCACTCCACTACAAAATAATAGCACCCTGAGCCGACGTAGTTCGTCGAGCAATGTTGGTTTAGGTGTCACCTCACCTCTCACACATTGTAGGGTGCCCAAGCGACATTTACCCACCACACACCACTCCTTCCCGGGTTTCATAACACTCCACATTTCTCCGTCCCTGTCCCTATCTCACCCCAACCAATTTTTCACCCCAACCCCCGAACGAGACCCAACCATATCTCCGCCATTTGCATCAATAGCCAAACTTGGTCGCAAGCCAGCACGCCAAGGTTGGATGCTGGAATATGCGCACACTGCGCGATTGGGACACCAATTATCGACCTACACGATGAACCGCATTAGTCCCCATGGTGCTTGCGCGGTATGACATTGATATCGCTGCACTGAGTGAGACCCGACTGGTTGATCAAGGTAAATTGGGAGAGGATGGTGCTGCGTACACTTTCTACTGGATTGGAAATCTTGCTGCAGCACTAC